ATATATATATATATATATATATATATATAAAAGTGGTCCGTCAAATATGTTTGTATGTATGGGAAAAAAGTATCTTCTTCTCGTTTGTTTTCGTTTACAGACTTGGTTTTTGCATCCATTCTTAACATTATCAAACCACATAAGGACACATTATAAGAATTTTTAGATGAAACTTTGTCCCCGATGGGGAAAACCCTTCCTTCATTCCATGGCCATCCGTCTACTTTCTATCTGGCGCAATGGAATTAAAAATTGCACTTGATCTTGAATTTGTTAATAAAAATCAATAAAACCACACCCATCTAAGGCAGATTTACTATTTTTATCGTAAATTAATTCATGCAAGGACATATTTAATAAATAGATAGACTCCCACGTAAATATCTTCAAGTTTTATAATCGAATAAATGATTCGATTTATTTCTATACCTGCATTGGCGGATATAAAAAAAGATGATGTAAACGAAAAATGTTAATAGCAACTAAGCAGTGAACCAATGCACAATATATTTGTATGTAATATACTTCACATCTAAAATGAACTGAAGTGAGTGAATTCCATAAGTAAATGTGCACTTTTGTTAGGAGCTTTCATTAACGAAATGTAAGAAGAGAGTCGTAAACATATTTTTATTTGCCTTTTTACTGCAACAATAACAAAAATTATATTACTATACTGCAACATACATAATATAACACATAAGAGAAGAAGAAAGAAACAATCATTAAGAAGTCATAGCTTATGTGTCTGTCTGTCTTTACTAAAAGTAAATGGAAAGTCAAACGTGCGTACATGGATGTGATGTCAGTCAATTGCTACATAAAAACGTTGCATGCAAGCACGTAAATATGTATATAAATATTTTTGTCTCTAAAACCATATGAATCTTAGTTTATAAGCATGTGTAAGTATATTAGTTTTTAATACACGCTCATCTATTAATGTTATTTGCCCAATTTGTGTGCAGCAATGTTTGTGAGGAAGATTCCTTTCTAGCCGAGCTTACTTATGCTTATTTTGTAAGAAAATTTTGTATGGCACATAGACATAACGTATACATACATATATGATAACAGATTGTGTTTGTTATAAACTCAGAGATGCTTATGAAAACGTACCGAACGCCTTAACTCTTAGGGGAGTTATGCTTCCAAAGGTCTTATTGCAATCGTTGTACTTAAAATTAATTGTAATTAATTTTGATTTTAAAGATCTTCCTGGGTGACAGGGAAACGCACAGGAGGAGTGTGATATTGAACGTGAACGAGAATATAGAGAAAGCGTGGGAAGAGGAGACATAGTTTCACAGAAAGAGAGACTACCGAGTTGAGCTGACTAGGGCAAATATCAGAGAAATCAGGCCAATAATGAACAGTCACTAGTTCATGTTTTTCTGCATCACATACCTAGAACTATTTAGATTGTTTCTTTAACATAAGACGTTGACAATGTTTGTAGTGCACAAGGTGTAACCATTAGTTTGCTGTTTAATTTGAAACAATTCAAGAGAGACACTTTTCTCTGCAATGCAGTGCGGATAGCCCTTCTCTCACTTTTTTCAGGTTTCTATAGTAGTTTCTGTTAAAACCATAAGTTGCGCTTTTCCTGAGTTGATGTTTACCGTGATATAAAGCAAAGTCGATAACATAATTATAAAAACAACTTAGAACGTTATACTCGATCAATAAAAACTCTATACTACTTTCCTTAAAACAGTTATCTATATAATGACTTTTCAAAATAAGGCTTTATATGGTGAGTGGTCGAGAATGTCGTCCGATCCGATCCGTTTATAACAGTGTACGTCCTTCGCCCATAGCAAGCCGGCGTACGGAATTTCATCAATCGATCTTAAAAATATTGATCTCTAGGATTAACACAAACATGGACGGCTAGACAGTCTTGGAGCGATGCACAAAGTAATAACGAATTGTTGCTAACCATTTAGGCAGCGTGCGGAGCCCGTTCTTCCAGGACTTTAAAGGCTAAGAGAAAAGCCTAATTTCATGGCCATATTGTAGTTTGAATTGTCGTACCTTATGCACCACATTCGCCGCAGACAATGAATTAATTATAAAAATATTTTAGTTTGGGGAAAAAGAAATCCATTATTTTTATAAGAACTTCAGGACTTTATGTAACATGCTTCGGATGCTTGCGGATGCATTAAAACTTCCCAACCAAGTTCCCGAAGTTTCTGGCGAGTCACAGATGTGTGTGGCCTAGCGTTGTCCTGGTGGAACACGACACCTCTCCCGTTGGCCAGTTCTGGCCGTTTCTGGTCAATCGCTATCTTCAAACGGTCCAGTTGTTGACAGTAGAGATCAGAATTTAGCGTTTAGCCCTATAGAAGCAACTCATAATAAATAATCCCCTTCCAGTCCCACCAAATGCATAGCAAAACCTTGCTGGCCGTTTGAGATGCTTCACCGCTCTTTGACCACGATCGTTTTCGCACAGGGTTATCGTATGTGATCCATTTCTCATCTCCAGTCACCATCCGTTTAAGAAATGGGTCTATCTCATTCCGTTTGGCCAAGGCGTCGCAGATGGAAATTCGATCCATCACGTTTTTTTCTGTTAATTGGTGTGGCACCCAAACATCGAGCATCTTTTTGAAACCAGCTTTGTGTAAATGGTTTAAAACTGTTTTATGGTCGATTTTTAGCTCCTGGGCGGTGTTACGACTGCTAACATGCCGGTCAACTTCGATCATTTCTCCGATTTTTTGACATTTTCGACGACCGGCCTACCTGTGCCAGGTGCATCTTTAACATCAAAAATTCCTGAACGGAATCTACGAAACCAAAATTGCACATAATTGGCTGTTACAGTATCGGAACCATAAACACCATTCACAATTTTAGCCGCCTGGCTTGCATTTTCGCCTTTGTCAAAGAAAAACTGTAAAATGTACCGATTTTTCTCTTTGTTCACTTCCATTTTTAACACGCTGTAACTCACAACTGAATCCACCAAACAAAAAACAGCAAAAGAATTTTTTTTACTGCGAAATGTACAGTATGTAAATGTACAGTATCGGAAATTGTTTGATCGATACTTTACGAGAAATCTATCACTTCAGCCATCTACCGAAAAAATAATGGATTTCTTTTTCCCCAAACTAATATAAAGGAAGACATACATACTGAAAATTTTTCATATGTCGGAAAGGACGCCGAAGCCTTCATCAGAACAATTTAATTTTATGCCGATATTCAAGGTTTATCATCACCAAATCGCCCCATGTGCGTCATTGGTGAAACAAACTCGGCTTTGATATGTCCTGAAAGGACTGGGCGCTGTTACTATCAATAATAGAAACAATAAATATTTTTTTATATTTTTCATAATATAATTAATGTATTTGTTTTTCTAAATTTATTGTTGTAATCATTTTATTTTTGCAGCAAAGACCCAATCCAATATGAAGATTGTCAACCCTTTAGTGACGATAAAGAGGGGGAATACGCACGGTGAACAAACTTCACGCCAGCGCATTTTCGTGTTTTCCCTAAAGAATGAAACAGTCACAGTGCTAGAAGACAGTTAAGTCTGAAAAAGCATCCTAGAAGGAAATTAGTTCTATTTCAATAACTAGTGGCAGTGACTGGAGCGATTGAACGAATAAAAGTATGATAAGTTGTTGCACCGGAAACAAAATCCTACTATTTGGTTGTTTTTTTTTTTGCTCAATCGTATGTACGACTGTCAGAAAGAAGTAAGGGAAGGGAAAGAGGTAGGAAAATAGCCGTAGCCGTTAGCCTTAGATGGTAGTGCTTTAAGACTTTA